CCCCATATACCATTATATACATCTAAATAATCTGCAGATAAGGAGAAAGGGTTGCTGCTGCTGCTGCTGCTGCTGCTGCTGCTGCTGCTGCTGTTGCTGCTGTTGCTGTTGCTGCTGTTTGGTGTTGGTGCTGCTGCACCAGGTGGTAAGGGAGGTAAGAGTTGCTGCTTCTCTTTTAATCGTTGCTGCTGCCATTCACGCATACCTCCTGCTGCTGTTGCTGCTGCTGCTGCTGCTGCTGTTGCTGCTGCTGTTTGCTTCTCTCCTGAATGGTAAGAACTGCTTCCTCCTCCTGCTGCTGTATCACCATCAGCAGCAGCAGCAGCTGCTGCTGCTGCTGCTGCCTCTGCCTCCCCCCATGTTATACGCCAACCGGGGCCCCTAGGGAGGGGACTAAGGGGGCCCCCACCAGCAGCAAGACGGCGCAGCAGTGCCCAAGATGCTGCTGGTTTCTTCCATCCTGTTGCTGCTGTTGCTGCTGCTGCTGCTGTTGCTGCTGTTGCTGCTGCAGCAGCAGCAGTTGATGAATTATTACCTTCTGCTGCTCTATACACCCCAAATGTCTGCGAATCAAAGAAAAGAGATGCACTCTCTGTTTGCTGCTGCCCTTCTCCTGCTGCTGCTGCTGCTGCTGCTGCAGTTGTTGACGTTGACTGTGCAGCAGCAGCAGTACCAGAAGCAGGAGATCCTGCTGCTGTTCCTGCTGCTGCTGCTGCTGCTGCTCCTGTGTCCTCCTGTGGTCTTGCTATACCCCCTACACGGGGCCTCCTATGCGCTAATCCTCCCTGCAGCAGCATATAAGGAGGCAGCTGCAGCAGCAGCTGCTGCAGCTCCTGCTGCATGCTGCAGCAGGAAGCAGCAAGATGTCTCCGCGCCTGTCTATATGTGTTCTCTGTACTGCAGCAGCAGCAGCTGCTGCACGTGCAGGTATTGCTGCTGCTATTACCCCATCCGCTGCTGCTGCTGCTGCTGCTGCACCAGCTGCTGTTATTACCACCCCAGCTGCTCTTGCTGCTGCACCAACTGCTACTACTGCTGCACCAACTACTACTGCTGCAGCTGCTGCTGCTGCTGCTGCAGCTGCTGCTGCATGCATTATCTGCTAACCAGAACTCTTTGCTGTTTGTTGCAGCAACAGCACGAGCAACATCTGATGATTCTCTTAGGGCAGCAAGAGAATACCATAAACGAGTAGCAGATATTGATAAACCCTGCACACAAAACCCTAAACCCTAAACCCTAAACCCTAAACCCTAATTATTTTTGTTTTTATTGTGTTATTATATTATTATAGGGTTTATTATTTATTATTATATATATATACACATAATAAATAATTTATTTATATATAGGGTTTATTATCTATCTATACTTACTACTCTCTCCCTCTCTAGGGTTTAGGGTTTAGGGTTTAGGGTTTAGGGTTTAGGGTTTACCACAGTGAGCTTTTTTCTTATATCTTCTTTAAGACCACCAAATCTTGAGCTCAATTCTTGGGGCCTCCCTTCTGCCATAAGGGGCCCCCAGGGGCCCCCTGGATAGGGTACAGCACGTGGGGCCCCCCAGTGGGCCCCCTTAGCTGAATGGGGGCCCCCTTGGGGCCCCCATGGAGGAAGAGGGAAATATTCAAGTCTTGTATCATCATCATAACCACAGAATATTCTTCCTCGTAGATCGTTATCTGCTGCTGCTGCTCCTGCTGCTGCTGCTGCTGCTGCTGCTGCTGCAGTAAATTGCTGCCTACTATAAGAAACTAATTGGGGCCCCACACGGGGAGCAGCAAAGTTCCCCCCTCTACGGAAGCGGCGACGGGGGCCCCTCCTACCAGGTTTTCTTGCTGCTGCTGCTGCTGCAGCAAGACCAGGTCTTCCTGCTGCTGCTGCTGCTGCTGCTGTTGCTGCTGCTCCTGTAGCAGGTATTGTTGTTCCTGCTGCTGCTGTTGCTGTTGATCCTCCTGCTGCTCCTGCTGCTGCTGCATCTCCATCATCACTCTCGTCACTGCTGTCACCATCTTGCCGCTGCTGCTGCTCATCTTGCTGCTGCTGCTCCTGCTGCTGTTCTTGTTGCTGCTGTTCTTGCTGCTGTTGGGACTGTGAATCTTCTGGCTCATTCTGCAATTGCTGCTGCATCTGCATCTGCTGCATCTGCTGCTGCTGCTGCTGCATCTGCTGCTGCTGCTGCTGCTGCTGCTGCTGCTGCAGCAGCAGCATATACTCCTGAAATGCTGTCTTAGAATTAATATAAAATTGTGTATATGCTGCTGCTCGCTGCTGCTGCCTTTTGCTGCTCAGCAGCAGCAGCGGCAAATAAAAATGCCTGCAGCAAATAAATAGACACAGGTAATATAAAATATGCAGCAGCAGCAGCAGCAGCAGCAGCAGCAGCAGCAGCAGCAGCAGCAACAGTAAGAACAACAACAACTGCAACACCAGCAGCATGAAGGGAGAAGAGGCAGCAGCAGCAGCAGCAGCAGCAGCAGCAAATACATCAATAACCACAA